GTTTGGATAGAGTATTACAAAGTATCACCAAACACGAACATATCGCAGCCTCCCAAAAATACACACACATACACTACACACATGCATCTTGCACACAGGGGAGGCGTCTTTAAATGACCTTAGCTGTAAATAGGACGTTAAACAAAATCAAACAAACAAACAAACAAACATTACCTTGAACTGCTGTCAACGTCACAGGGGTCAAGTGTCAAATATGCAATAAATAACAAAAACTAAATTAATGTCTTCTGAGTTAATAACCACAATACAATATACATCATATCATAAATATCAAAAAGGTACACTTTGTGATATATACATATAGTTATGCAATAACGTAATGTAATAGAGACAAACTCATTATGTTGAAACATTTAGCTGAGATTATGTACCATATGTTATAACGATAAAACAAGTTTAACTATTCAATCAATTGCAAACAAAGTTGCAACATAATGATTAAACTGTGTATGCGGTATTAAATATTATTATATATTAATATAAATTATATATTGCAAAATATTTCATTCATACCAAAGATGACTTTTTATGGGTCAAATGAGAACTTGTTAAGCAGCCTCTTCCGACGTAGTTGACAGTTCGCATATACCATGTGTGGATAAATTAGTACAACAATTCATCAAAAAAAGTTTCAGTACGAATTAGGTGATGTCAATCATTAAGCCTGGAACATTTGTAAAAAGTTGCATAATAACTTCTATTGAGAGAGCGATACAAACCCGTTAGGCCTCTTGCGACTTGCTGTTGTCTGAGATATGGTGGTGTGCAAAGAGAAAAGGTAAAGTATTATGAAAGAAGAACATAGTTTAAGCCAAAGTTAAGATTGAATCAAGGATATTTAACGTTCTTCAAAATCAAATGTCATCCATTCCATCTCTGAAGTGTCGAGTATCACCAGATGACTGTGACCAGTATTTAAACTAGAACACTGACAGGTCAGTAAGGGCCCCGTCTTTGGGCATTATATCCGCCATAATCATCAAGAAGCAATCTGCCCATATAACTGAGCTTGACGTCTGATATTTTGACTTCAAAAAGAATCGCAAGGAAGCAAAATATACATTTAACATGTACTAAGATGTGAGTCTTGTTTCCTTCCATCTCCATATTTGCTAGGCTAACAGAAATGTAAATATCGGTGCAATACTCATTTGTTAGCTTTGATATGTTTTATTCCACTTTGAATACCTCCTCCATCAAGAGCCAGGGTCAAAGTCAGAGATCCACTTTGTCTTTGACCTTTGGACCCAAATGACCTTGAGCTTTAACCCAGTGACCCTGATCTTTGGTCAGTTGAATTATTCTTTTATTCCGACCACATTTGCTTCATAATATCATAACAAAATGTTCATCAGTGAAAAATACAAAACTTGACCTTGAACCTTTGGACCCCGTAACCTTGACCTTAGGTCATTTGACTCGGTGTAAAGTTCTGAACAACTTTGCTTCATAATAACTTAAAAATAATGTTCATCAGTAAAATATTTGAACTTGACATTGACCCAGTGACCTTGACCTTTCGTCAGTTGACTCCTTGTTAAATTCTGATCAACATTTCTTCATAGTTTCATAACAAAATGTTCATTAGTGAATAATACTTAATCTGACCTTGACCCTTTGCACCCCGTGGCCTTGACCACAAGTCAGTTGACTCTTTGTGGAATTCCAACCATCTTTGCTTCATAATGTCATAACAAAATGTTCATCAGGGAAAAAATACAAAATTTGACCTTGACCTTTGACCCAGTGACCTTGACCTTTGGCCAATTGACTCCTTGTTTAAATCTAAGCAACATTGCTTCAAAGCATCATAACGAAATATTCACCAGTGGAAAGATACAAAATTTAACCTTGACTTTTGATCCAATGACCTTGACCTTTGTTTAGTTGATTCCTTTTTTTTAATTCTGACCAGCATTGCTTCATAGTGTCATAACAAAATGTTCATCGGTGAAAATATGCAAAAAATAGACCTTGACCTTTGAACCTACTGACCTTGACTTTTTACCTGAGTGTGTATTTTTGTGAACTGAACACCTTGACCAAGTTTCATGTAAATCGGTCAATTAATACCAAAGTTATTAGTCATGAACAAAATTTGTGGACGGACAGACAGACAGACAGACAGACAGAGTGATTACTATAGGTTTGTTTGTTTGATTTTGTTTAACGTCCTATTAACAGCTAATGTCATTTAAGGACGGCCTCCCCTGTGTGCAAGATGCATGCGTGTAGTGTATGTGTGTGTATTTTGGGAGGCTGCGATATGTTCGTGTTTGTCTCCTTGTGATAGTGCGGAACTGAAGGGCACCCGTATCTCCGATACGGGGCCCTAATAAGAATGATGGTTTAATGTTAGTAGGTTTAATGTTAGTAGTTACTTGGTTAAGCAACAATCATTAAGTAATGAAACCCTTTATGTGGGGTCCCCAGGTGGTGCAGTGGATAGCGCACTTGCCTTTCACCAAGGCGGCCGGGGTTCGATTCCCTGATTGGACTTGAAATTGTATGGGGTCACCTGCCCGATCACGTTGGTTTTCTTCGGGAACTCCGGTTTCCTCCCATTAACAATACCCTGCACGCTAACATCCAGACCAACAAGAGTGATTAAAATAAGTTGAAGTAACTTGTTTCATATTTGTTGTAAAATAATCAAAGTTTATATATATTAATGAAATCCGATTTCTTCATTAATTAGCATTCGAAAATATTTTCATCGGGAAGCTTGATTAGCTAGTATTCTGTCTTTTCAAAGTTGGAAAATGATATATTTTTTCAACATTAATGTTATAACATAACAATGTGTAAGAATTACTTTTATGTAATAATAATTCAACAATATATATTGATCAAATCACAAACAAAATTTTAATGATTTTTTTTTTAATGGAAAAACAAAACAAAAACATTACCTGCAATTAATAAACAGCATACTATGTACATCAAATCATAAATATCAAACAAAGTACACTTTGTGATAAAATTTAAGTATGTACAAATAGTTGAGGCAATCACGCTGTACAATGTATTGCTGTAAAGAGACCAACTCAACTCATTATGTGAAAACGTTTGAACAGATTATGTACCACGCTATAACGATATAGCAAATTAAACTATTCAATCAATTCTTAATTAGTTAATCAGTTAATGTGATATTATATATAATCAATCCTATATAAATATAAAATGTCAATTTCAATTCATTTCATTCATACCAATGATGACTTTTATTGACAATTTTCATTTAAATATCAAATGTATCCAGGAACGGTGTTATATGAACACATCAGATAGGGAGGGAAAACTTAATCAATTCGTGAAATGTCTCGTTTTTCTGCCATTAAGACCCACACTATTTATATTATTATACAAAAAGCGGAGAAAGGAGATTATACACCAATGTTGACACTTGACAATATAAATATCACGAACAGATCAAAAGATGCAGAGATTTGCTACTTATTATGGGCAGGCAGGCAGGCAGGCAGGCAGGCAGGCAGGCAGGCTCCAACAATGATAAAGGCAGTTTGGTAATCGTACATTATCATTTGTGAATTGTTACCAAAGTTTCTGTCTTTTTTTAATACATATGGTTCTTTATCACAGAATTTTGTACATTCATGGATATGAATATTATAAATAATACAAGAGGCCCAATGGGCCTGCATCGCTCACCTGGTATAAAACTCACGCTTGTAACCTTAAAAGTGATCTAAAATAAAGCTACAGGCAAAATATCAGTATTTATGATTAAAATTCGATCAAAAGACCCTGTTATTTTTTTTTTAAACATTTCACCCCTGTGATTGAAAGTCGAACAAAGTCATTATGTTGAACACATTGTATAGGCTTTCATCTCAGGATGCAACTTGCAAAGTATAAACATCCTGGGACCCATGGTTATTCATAAGAGGTTGTTTAAAGATTTTAAACAAATTTGACCCCTGTGACCTTGAATATAAGTCAAAGTCATTCACTTTAACAAACATAGTAGTCCTTGATCCCAGCATATGCTACTAACTAAATATCAACATCCTGAGCCTTTTGG